AAAGAGATCTAAAGCTACACAGTATTCCACCCCCAAAGGAGGCTCTTTGTCCCAGGGCCTTGTGCTGTAACAGACACTTTATTTTCAGTCTCAGTTCAGGACACTGAATACTCCCTGGCCTCTAAAAAGCAGGAATTATGAAGAGAGAGAGCTCACTGGAAGGAAAATAAACCTGTAAATCCTGTTAGGCTTTGCGCTTCATTCCAAAGGATTTTTCCCCAAAACAATACCATTAGCAATACCATGATGGCCCTAAAAGGGAGGATTCTGTACAATAGAATCCCAGTTCTTTATTCAAAATAACCCCCAGGACAGCACAGCAAAATCAGGATTCCACGATCCTCACCACCGAGAGAGCCAACTCATTTTCACTCTTTGTCTGTGGGCTCGCCGTGATCCTCCTTATAAATACCTTTTCTGTAATTTGGATGTGCTTCCTACCCTCCAGGCTTCTCTTCTTCCAAGTGGGCAGTCGGTCCACAAATATTCATTAAGGGCCTCCCAAGTGCCAGTCACAGAGAAGAGAAAGGCTTGATCCATGCCCTCAAGGTGCAAACAGGGAGATGAGACAAACAAGCAATTATAACACAAGGCTGTTAGTGCTGCAACCAAGCTCAAAAGAACTCTTCCCACTGGAGCCTGGGAACCCCAGGAGATGTTCCTTGGATGCTGAAGAAGAGAACAGAGGTTCTGCAAGCACAAGACAGGAGTGGGGAAGACCATCTCTGGCAGAAGAAAAGCAAGCATGATGATACAGAGGCATGGAGTGAACACAAACTCAGGAAGAAACTCGGTGTGGCAAGAACTATGGGATCCCCCTTCTTGGACTTGGCCCCTTTTAGAAGGGGCTCAACTTCTAAACTCTGAACTTGGGCAGAAAAGTTCTAATATCTGATAGCAACTTGTTTTCCCCACTAATACCAGACTTTGTTATTACAAACATGTCTGTACGGAATCATGGCAGAAACCAGTCTCCCACGTTAGAGAACATGAGGAGGACTATGATCACAAGAACCGTGCCTAGTTTACTGCATAGGTTAGTGGAACCAAAGAAAAAGAACCGACCGACATGCCAACACAGGGCTCCTTAGCTGCAGTTGGTATCTCCCTGCAAAAGCCCTCCTGGCTCCTCTTGCAAGTTGGTGGTCTTAATGGCACCCCTCCAGCCTCTTTGGTCAGGCAGCCTCAGCTTCCAGCCCTAATCTGTGTTGCCAGGCAGCCTCTTAACCTCACTCAGAGGTCAGAGGGCAAGAAGCTGCAGAGTGTCTGAGCCCACTGACCTTAGCCCTCCATCTCCGGTGCCTTCCTGTATCACAAACCTCTAACACCCCACTGTAGAGCTACAGCTGCTTTATTGTGTCCACGTGTATTTGCTCCTGTCCAGCACATGTCTGTATCTCCATCTGTTTTATCTACTCCTTACGTTGTAAACTTTCCGAAAGGGATGAAAAATTCCCCACCCTCCCTCCTTTGCACGCCCATCTCTATTCAGAACCCCACTCCCTTCAAGCGGTACTGTGTGAGAACAGTGCAATTCCTTAAGTTTTAAAAGTTAAAAGGGAGGGGGGATGAAATGGAACTTGGCTTAGAGCTAGAAGCAGAATGGCCCATATAATTTATAGTCTGCACCCTGACACTTGAGAGTGAAGACAGTGCTCTCATAAGCAGCAGGGACAACTTATAAACTAGGTCTGGCCCAGGGAAAACAGAGGCAAATGGTCACCCTTGTTAGAAAGGTCATTCCAAATAGAAGAGTTATTCCAGAGCTCCAAGAGGGGCACACCAAACACCTTCAGTCCCTGACTCTTGTGCCTGAACCTAAAGGGGTTGCATCAGATACGCCTGTGGCAGAAAGCCCAGGACCAGGAAGTTCTTCCTTCCTTCTAACTCAGATCCTTAAAGATTCAAGTTGATCCCTCTTTTATTAACCTCAGGGCCTCAGAGAAAACACTGCCCTGGGCCTTCACCCTTGGTAGGAATTCCTCATTATGAGTTCGACTGCTAGCTCTCTATCCTTCAACTGAACCAAATTCAATCTGGCTGGCTCAGAAATAGAAAAGCCAAGGGTTTGGGAGTCGTTCCCAATGAGAACACAGTTCATCTTTAACTTGCCCCACATCCCCAGGAGCCCTCACAAGCCAAACCCAAGGAAGAAATGGTACCTGTATGCATACTGTTGAGACTAGGATGCTCTGCCCCTAGCCAAAACTACCCCTGCAGGGGACCTGAGCTCCGGGAAGAATGGACTCCCATCCCTCCCCACTCCCAGCGCCCCCCCCCCCCCCCCCCCCCCCGCCCCCCCCCCCCCCCACCGAGAGCTGACTCAAGCCCACTGCAGAGCTGGGTGGCCGGGAAGACTCCATGAACAAAGCAGTCCCTCTTTTTCCCTCCCCTACTCAACATCAGGATGCTGCTATCCCAGTTGAGAGCAAGGACCTTGCTGTCTTCTTTTCCACATACGAAAAGAAGTCTCTGATGGGGGTGGAGAGGGGAAGAAGGTCGGGACCCACACACAAACAGAGCAGGCAGGCTCTAGCAGCCTTTGCCCACAGCAGTTACCTGCCCCTCAGCACACGCTCTTTCCCAGGGCCTGGTAGTAGATGGAAATCAAGTGCTCCTGCCCACTTGCCACCAAACCCTACCCACTAATTTATAGCCATTTATTTTTTATTTTAGAGAAGAATTATTTAGGGAGCATTGTATAAAGAGAGGGCAACTATTTGATCACCCAAAGGTCACTGAGATAATGCCCACAAAAACTAAACAGCAGACAACCCTGCCCCACGTGACCTTGGGCTAGTCACTTCGCCTTTCCCGGCTTGCGTTTTTTTCGTCAACAAAATGGTACAATCAGTGAAATGGTTTATAAGGTTCTTTCTGGCTCCAAGAGTTGAATATTTAAATCTGTATATTTCCTGAAGAAAGGGCTAAAGAAAATCAGTGGAGAGAGGCAGAATTCAGACTAACCTTTTAACTTCTGCTTTGACTGGTAACATTTGATTCTAGAAACTGTGCAAATTACCATCTCCTCTGGTCCCACTTTTGCTTTCCCACTGACCTTCTAGTTTTGCTGATGTCAATCTTAACCACAGGGATCAGAGTCTCATGAGGCAATAACCCGGTCAAATTAATTTTGCCAATGCTGATACTAACCCACAAACTGGGTCTACTATTCCTAGCAGTAAGTCTGGCCATAAAAGTGAAATTCGTGTTACTTATGATCTAATAAGCCCATTGCCTGGACAGAAATAAACCATTTACTGAATAACAATGCCCACCAAATTCTTGCAGTCTTTCAAATCCCTAAGTGCCATGAGTTAATATTCTTGTCCAAAAATAAAGTCAGTATCTCAAAGGGGAAGGAGGAATGGATAGACCCCCCCCAACAAACAACAAAATCCAGCCCTTACACACACACACACGCACCTCTTGCTCTGACCAGACCAAGATAGTCCCGCTTTCAGGTTTGCCCACCTTAACTGTGGTTAAAAATGGTAAAGTATGTAGTCCCCCTCCCTTTACTGCTTTGGGTAAGTATAATGCAGGGTGCCCGCCTCCACTGCCAACTGACGGTACACTAAAGAAACCCCGTTTTTCATCCACATGTAAAATGAAGCTGCACCCCTCCTCTACCTGCTGGAAACTACACGGGTGTGCACACACCCTGAGGAAATGGGCACTGAACCCCGCGAGTTACCTGGAAGGCGTTTGCTAAAATCGACAGAAAGGAGGAAGGATCGATGCAATTCAAGTGCGGACGGTCACACTCATGGGGGGGGGGGGGACAAACGCAAGTCGGAAGTCCCCAGCGGTGCCTGCACCTGGGAGGCGACCGCATAGGATGGATGCGGGGCTGAGGAAGTGCGGGGAAAGGAAAGAGCTGGGGGAAGGCGGGTGGCCGGCCGCTCACCTGTCCGTACACCTTGATGGGCTCCGGCTGCAGGGCAGCGCTCCGTCTCCTCCGGAGCGGCTTCTCGTCCGCCCCCCGGGGCCCCCCGCGCGCCCACAGCCGCAGCTCGCGCGGCTCGCCCTGCACCACGCGGAAGCCCCGGTCCTGGGGCAGGGGCGCGCGGCCGCCGTGCAGCGTCTGCGTCCACACCTCGCACAGAGCCCCGGGCGGCAGCAGTGCGACCAGGGTGAATAGGAAGGGGAGTCGCGACTCCCTCCTGCTGCTCCGTGTCGCCATGTTCGGGCGAACACTGCCGCAGGTGGCGCCGCCGCCAGGAGAGAATGTGCAGCGCGAGGCCGGGACGGTGGCTGGGCCGGGGCCGCGCGCGCCGCTCCCGGGGCTCCAGGCCGCCCGCGCCGCTCGGGGCCGCCCCGCTGCGCCCGCCGCCGCCGC